CATAAAAGAATGAATAGCTGTTAGGCTAATACCTATGAATGCAGGACGAAAGTGACCGCGAAAGTGAAAGAGAATCATTTATGACTGAGGAATTTTGGGTGAATGTGATGAAATAAAATAATAGTAATAGAGGTAGAGAATTATAATGAAAGAGAATAAATGCGTAAGGGTATACAGGGTGTGAAAGAAGTGCGCATGAAACAATAGTTGTCATGGAGAGACAGAGTTCTGAGTGGAGAGTCTTGAGAGTATAGTGAGCGATTGAGAATGAGTGAACGTGTATCATCTTTGAGTGAAAATAAAGCTGTTATCGTTATTAAAGAAGCGTCTACACTTTTTCAAACCTCAACCCCTTATTTACTGGGGATTTAAATCGAAGTAATCCTCTACATTATTATTTTTTGATATTAAATTATTTTTAAAAAGTGCAAATATGGCTTTGCAGAAAAAAACGAATTTTTTCTGAATTAAAAATAAATCGAGATAGGCATATTCAAAATATTCAGATGGTAAGCAATAAATAACCGTGAATTCGATATTGAATATCGTGCCAAGCAAACAACGTTATTTTCCCTGAATTTTTAGCAAAATAACGCTGCATTAAATAACAGGTCAGAATTCAAAACAAGATGAAATTTATTCATATTCACTCCAGATATAAATAACGGGATGAAAATAAAAGAAAATCGTAATATCATTTCTGTTTATTTATTTTATATCCTTCTTACTATACTAAAATATTGTTTCGAAATTATATTTAATATACAATAAAAGTTACACGAATTCCAAAATTTTTGCAATGGTCTACATATAGAATATACAGAGAAATACTAAACGTTACACGTTTCCATTTTCCATTCATATTTAAAATTCCAAACCTAAATTCTTTCTATCAACTTTCGGTTATATCGTACAATTTAAAAAAAATATACTAAATCTGTAAAACAATGTTTCTTCTAATAAATAGTATTTTAAATCCTGTCTTTCAGCCCTATCGATTAATAAATTAGAATTTTCTTAAACCATGATACACAGCATTTTCTACAACTACAATTATTACGATTGGCAAAAATTAAACAAAATTATATCCTTCTAGTATATAATATTTACAATTAAATTGCAACACGAATTAAATAAAAATTTACAAAAGAGATAGTACCTGACACGCAACATTTTCTACAACTAGAGTTACTATGATTGGCAAAAATTAAACAAAATTAGACCATTCCAGTATATAATATTTACAATTAAATTACAACACGAATTAAATAAAAATTTACAAAAGAGACAGTACCTGTTATCCAGTTCCAGTTACTGACACAATATTTAATCAACAAAATCTCGAAATCAAAGACACGGATCAGCATCGTTCGACAAAGAAAGAGGAAAAAAGAAATTCTCGTATACACGGCATCATCATCCACTCCGAAAACTGTCAAAACCAGGCGAGATCAAAGAGGGAGGAAATAAAGAATCGGCCCAATTTTCCTCGAGCCCGTCTCTAGACCCGCTTTCGTTCGGGGGGTGAAAAAGGTGGCTCGTTGATCCCGTTTCCGCGTAACCAGCTTGCAACGGTGCTATTGCCAGTCGTTTCGTATCGAGATCGTTCGCGAGGCTTGTTCCGAGCGCGGCGTCGGCGTTAAAGAGCGGAATCGAGGCGGCTGCGTGCCAAAGCGTTATCTTTTATTGCATGGGGATCGGGTCAAGCGTTGCGATATCGTGAATCATCGCCAATGGTCCACGGTTCGCTGACTGACGAATGGAAAAACGGCGTTACGACGCGTGTAATTTACCACGAGCCTCGAGTCCGCGTGTAACGAGGCTGTTATGTAAACCGATAATGTTTCGGGAATACGTGGCAACGAAAATCCGTGGCGAATTTCGTTGCGCGTGTTTGCACTTCAAACAGGTGTGTGTGTGTGCACGCATGCGCGGGAAGGACTGATCGTTGGAAATTGGGGTTCACGTAATTATTAAATTTCAGAGAAATATATACAGCTTATGGGGATAGTGAATGATAATTGATTTACTAAAAACTTTTAATTTGATCTATTTTTCTTTTCAATTGTGAATTCGTAATTATTTCGTAATTTTTTCGTTAATGTGGGGCATTATAAGGTAATTATTGTATTATTATTATTATTATTATTATTATTATTATTATTATTATCATTATCATTATTATTATTATAAAAGTTTTCTAAAATTCTACATTATTGTTGTATCGATATATGAGAAATTTAATTAATTTTTTTATTTGATATATAAAGAAAGTAATACCAGGTAAGGTTATCTTATGTTCTTTGGCAAGGGTAGGTAATAAAACAGGAAAAGCTATTCGATATTTGCTGCGATAAAGGGATGAGAAACGTGGTTGGTACACTTTAGGATTCAAGTTTAAATCCTGTTATTGGTATTCTCAATTTATGTGTTCCCCAGGCGAGGATTGTGGTCTACGAGTTGCCTGATTACACACTGACCGTTTCTACTTGCCGACTGATTAAGGCAACTCCTCGAACAGAGTATTATTAGGCATATAGAAAGTACATGAAATTATGTAATAGGAAGAGAAGTCTCCTTTGTTATATATTTAAAAATATTAGAATTTAGTTTAAAAATAAATTATTCACTTTAAAGTATTCGTTTCTACTTCCTAATGTAATATTTAATTAATTAATTTAACTTCTCCGAGCATCAATCTTTATTTCCTACGTAACAATAAATGAATTTAGAACTCACAATTACTTATACCCGTGACTAATTAATTTGCGTGTAAATAGATAAACTAATAAGAAGATTTATTTAACACAATAACAGCACGACATAAATTATAACTAAATCTCGTAAAATAAATTCGCTTCTAACTGCGGTATAATCTCTTGAAGACTCTTTCACACACAACGTCTATTTGTAACGACTATCATTCAGCTACTGATTGTTTTCTCGCGACTCTCTGTCATACTCGTCACACACACATTCTTCCACACAAACATTCCTTACACTCATACCACACATTCTATGACAACCACTACCACAATCCCCCCCCCCCCTTGTTCCACCTTTTTCTTATGGAAATTGAGAAAATTTTATAAATCACAAATGGTAATAATAAAGTTTAAAAAATATTCGTCATCGTACTATCCTCGAAACGTACAGATCCTAATATTTATAAAACACTTATACGAATATGTTCTATATCATCAGAACCGATGTATCATTTACCTTTCCCATAGAAACAAACAGTTTCGAATGAAAGAATTCCCCATTTCCGCCAAAATATTTGGCGTTCGCAAACAGTTTGTAGCATCACGCTCGTCCGCCATCCACAAATCATACTGATCAAAAAAGAACCGGATGCTCACGTGAACGAGCAGGGCTGGGAAGGTTTACCAAAGATCGGTAGAAAATTCATTGAGCCAAATGTTTCCAATAAATATTCCTCCGCAAAGATTGACACCGAATATACACTCCGGAGTCCGTTGCACGTATTTCGAAGCGAAACAAAAACGAAAACAAACCGTCCCTTTCCACGCGTTGCAACCAAAAACAAGAAAACCGCGAAAAAAAAGTCATAACGCGGCTATTTCCTCTGCAATTTTTTTTTTTTTTTTTTTTTTTTTTCAAGAATGACGCAAACAAATTTAAATGAAACGAAAGCTTTCGATCGAACCGCACACTGTATCGACCGTGCACCGCATCAAAAGCAGAGCTTCGGCCAAATTTAAAGCAAAAATAGAAAACAAGATAAGAGAAATAAAAAATAGAAAAAAAAAATTATATTTGGTTCGTCGACGGGAAAAGCGAGAAAGAGAGACAAATAGGGTGCTTTTACAGCCTCGTTTCGTCGAATCAACTCCGTAATCTCGTTGTCACCAAGTAAACGCCGCTATCGAGCAGAAAATTCACGAATGGCTCGTTTCATCTTCCTATCCTCCGCTTTTTCGATTTTCTTTTTTATTTTGTCCATAAATCAGCAACGATGGGAATCACACGGTTCGTCGGACGCGTTTAACACCGCGACGAACAACGCCAACGACATTAAGAGACCTATTAAGTAGTCCCGGCACTACGATACCGAGGACACTTTCCAGGATTTGGCAGCGGATCTCTTTACCATAATTGCACTCCAAGGGCTCGACGTGTGGCCAATTTGACCCGATAAATGGCTCTGCCAACGTTCTGGCGTCGAACTTCAGGGCTCGCGATTGGGGACGGAATTTTGGACTGGGAATTTTAACTGGATAGATAGTAATATTTCGTTTTCTATCTCTTTTTCTTTTTCTGAATTAATAACGAATTTTGAACCGGTAAATATATGTGTACGAATATGTACGTACATAAGATGAAACTCGATTCCAATAAATAAAATAAAATTATCCAATAAATAAATAAAATAGTTTAAACGCAATTTTGTGCTTCTTTCAGAGATAAATTATTTAGTAATATAAAATGCCTAGTGAATCAAAATATAACTAGGGGTTGATTTCTTACAGATACTAGTAATAAGTATCTAATAATAGTAATAATAAGTAATAATTAAAATTACTAATGAAATATATATCATTAATTTACTCGAAATTACTATTATACTATTGTTAACCACCATTTAAAAAATAATAGTCTATATAGTAACAAAATTAATAAGCAATTATTTATTTTATAATATTTTGTTTTTATTATTTTATTTATTGCAATAATTTATGTTATAATATTGTTCTTATTATTTTATATATTGCAATAATTTATTTTATATTTTGTTTTTATTATTTTATCTGTTACAATTATTTATTTTATAATATTTCATCTCTATTATTGATATGAATTATTATAATTTCATAAATTATCAATAATAAAATAGACAATTATGAAAGAAGCAGCTACGCGATTATTTATTATTTTCTTTCACAGATCATCAATGTCGAGATTGATGATTAATGTGTAGAATAAATATGTGAAGAAACTATGCGATTATTTAAGTAATCGAAGATAAATGTACTCACATCTCCTTTTTCCGGAACGTACTTGGCCAGCCAGCCCCATATGACGCCGAATCCGAGACCTCCGACGACGGCAATGGGGCCCTGGAGAATTTGATACCAGAGTGCATCCTGAGAGAACATGATGCTCTTTATAATCCCATGGATCGCCACCGATGCTGCATCATCGATTCCTGACACGGCTATGATCAAAGTCGGAATGCCCTGAAAGGAAACCAGCAACGAAGATCGAATAAGTGACTCGATTAAACGATTACCGACTACTCGCTGAAATTTAACTTAGGTAATAATTAAATTTCAATTTCTAATGTTGCGAATGGAATTTCGCGAGACGCGCCGGATACAAATGAACGTGCAATACCGTAAAATATTTGTAAAATTAAAATTTGATAATTTTTTAATAAATACCAGAATTGAGAACGGGAATACGATCCTTCTATTTCTAATTTATCGTATTTCATTTACTATTTATTTATATTGCTATTTTATTTCCTCATCATACGTATTACAGTATAATTTTTCTTTTAGAACAGGTATACCCGTGATTCAATCAGTATTTCACAAATTAAACGACATAAAAATATTAACAGATTTTCATTGAACACCGATGAAAAATAATCTATTTTCTTTCCTGAAATTTAAATAACGATATGAATAAAATTTACTACCCTTATATACATCATAAATAAATTATTCTATAATTTTAAAAGAAATGCAAACACACAGAAGATTTATAGAAAAAATATAATTTAGTAATTTATATTTCAAATTATCCAAAAATCTTGTCTCGCATTTTTCTCGAGAAATATTACAATATTCATTTCCAGTGTTTCTTAAAAAAGAAAAATAATCGAATGTAGGAAACTAGAAACTATCATAAATGCATCAACGCTAGTTCCAACCCCTATACCTTAAATTCCCCCGCAATTACGAAGCAAATTTCCCCACAAAGGCTAACAACTAACCCATCGAACTGTAACATGAAAATTCCACTGGAACGAAAGGCAAATTGCATAAACCAGGATAGCGAGTTGAATCAGGAAGAGAATTATTAGTCAGGTTAGAGGAGCAATCTCCTCGAGTTCGATCGCCGGGAACATCATCCCGACAGGAATCGACGTTTTCCGTATTTTTCACCCTCCCCTCGTCCCGCAACTTTCCTTATTTTCCAGCGACGGCTACAACATCCGCGATTCGCGGAAACCTCATTATCGGCTGCAATCAGATTCCCTCGCGGTAACTTCAAAAACCATTAAGGAACTTTAAGCCGGAACGTTCGGGGTCAGTGAAAATAATCCGGCGTCTGATGGATAAGAGTGGGTAACGGGGTTCGAGGAATCGGGAAAAATGAAGTGAAGGAGAATTAAGGGCGAGAGGGGGCGAGAGGAAGGGTCTAACGAGAACAAGCTCGCGATTCTTTCGAAAGCAATCCGACCGCGATAGCTCGTACGGGATTTAAGTTCCACGATCGTCCTCGTGACTCTCCGATCGAATCCTGGTGAACTGGTCCCTCGACAAACGTTTCGGTTCGTCAGCAAATCGCACCGCTCTTTGTTTCGTCCAACGTCTTCCCTTTTTCCGCGGTAAGATGGGAAAAGAGTTGCTAACTTTGGATTACTTAGAAATCGCTCTTGCCCTCCGAGTTTCGGAGAAAGTTGCGAGTTTCGGGTCGAATGGTATTTTGGTACCGTTATTCTAACACCGTGGGAGTCAGAGTGTGAATGTTTGAGAAGATTCCACAGTCTTTGGAAGAGAAATTAATAATTTTTTGAAGGGAAATTAATAATTGATAATTTTCTATAAGAGTGTTGTTAATTTAAGTGTTGATGTTGCTATTAATATTGGAGAGAACAGAACACGAACTATCTTGAGAAACACATCTCTGTATTTTCAGTAATTAAAGAAAGAAGTATGTGAAATCAGTCACTTTGTCTCCCTCGAGAATTCCAGTGATAAAATATATATTCTTTAAAATATTAAAACATATAAAAAGAAGTTTCATAAATTTTTGACAGAGAGAGGTAACGTGTATGACGAAAAATGTCTGTAAAAATTCTGTCCAGAATTTTTACCTCACCTTAAACGGGCTAAATTACCATCATTTATAGCAAGGTTAATTTAGATAGAAATTCAAAGTAGAAACTTCTTTCAGAAAAATGGGAAAATGTTTAAAATATCCTCGTGCATAATAAACCTAAACACAAACGTAAAAAACCGCTTTCGTAAAAGCAGGAAACATTCGCAGAATTAGATACAGCATCCCTAAAGAGCGTAACAAAATTTCCACCTTTACTTCCTGGATTCCAAACTACCCCCATTTATGACGAACCTTTTGCAATTTAAAGCCGGTTGGCGAATAAAGAAATTTCCTGTATTAACGAGAATACTTAAAAATGCAATGAACATTCCTGTAATAGAAGAAGAAAGGACGAGGGGTTGAAGAAAGAGATTGAACACGTTTCTACGATTCCAAATTACCCCTATTCGGCACGAATCTTTCGCAATTTAAACGCAAATTCGAGGAAGAAACCTGTTTGCGAATAAAGAAATTTCTGATAACACGTCTACATAAAAATGAAAGCAACATTCCTATAACAGAAGAAGAATGGACAGAGGGATGAAGAAACGGGTTGAACACATTTTTACGATTTTAAACTACCCCTATTTGGGACGAATCTCTCGTAATTTAAACGCAAATTTGAGGAAGAGACCTGTTTGCGAATAAAGAAATTTCTGCTAACACGTCTACATAAAAATGAAAGCAACATTCCTATAACAGAAGAAGAATGGACAGAGGGATGAAGAAACGGGTTGAACACATTTTTACGATTTCAAACTACCCCTATTTGGGACAAATCTCTCGCAATTTAAACGCAAATTTGAGGAAGAAACCTGTTTGCGAATAAAAAAATTTCTACTAACACGTCTACATAAAAATTAAAGCAATATTCCTGTAACAGTAGAAGAAAGAACAGAGGAATGAACAAATGGGTTGAACATATTTTTAAGATTGTAAACTACCCTCAACCATGACGAATCTTTCGCAATTTAAACGCAAATTCGAGGAAGAAGCCTGTTCGCGAATAAAGAAATTCCTACTAGCACTACTTAAAAATACTTACTTAAAAATGCAAGGAAGATTCGCGTAAGAAAAGAAAGGACGAGGGGTTGAAGGAAGGGTTTCGACACATTTCCATCACGCTGCCAGCTTGAAAGCGCTCTCTCCTGATTCGTCCCAACTTCGAAACAACGACCATATGAAAAACCTCTTTGATCTCGCGGATAATACGAATTACTCGGCACATTCTTGACAGAGCGTTCAATTTCTTCCCTCGTGCGCGGCTGCTTCTACCACAGGCCGAGAAATAAACAAAAAGCCCCGTCTAGATCTTTCAACTCATGAATATCACATTCCCAGGAATGGCCTTTGCACTCTTCAAACAGCTTCCACTCCATTTTCTAAACTGAATTATTTAAGTCCTCTCTCTGCTTCTTCTACCTGTCTCTCTTTTTCTCTCTCGAGCTCCCTTACCTCTCCGTGCACCGTTTGCTACATTCTCGTTACTATTTCTGACATTATCATTTTAAATAGGGCCGCATCGTTGCGCCCCGGCAAATCTTCCGAATGCACTTTTGTCGTTGCGCCCTCGACCAACTCTATCGACCACATGGGTCCCTTGAAAAACCCACACGCCATTTTAATTTTAACCTTCGGTCCCGTATTTCTAGCAACTCAGCTTCCGAAATATTTATTTTCCAATTTTTATCAATTTTATTCGACGAATTTTGCGTTTCCAATATTTATTTATTTTCTAATAAATTTGTTAATCTTTGTAAATTTAATTCGTAGAATTCTGTTTATCCAATTTCTTTTCTTACCTTTGAAAAATAAATTTGACGATTCTTTTCTGTGTAGGAAATGTGGATATCTGATTTAGGGTAGATAGTACTCCAAATATTCTGTCTCCAAGGGAGAGGTTTATTAACCCTTTGTACTCGAGTGGCGCCTCTCAGTCACCATTTAATCAAATTCTAAAGATGGATATTAATTAATATATCAAATTTACAATTACCCAACGATGCGTGGAATACCGAAGTAAAATAATTCTACGTCTTAATTTGCATACGATTTTTTATTCACCGTGTTAGAAATATCGTCGAATTTATGGCAGAAAGTCTTCGAATTACCATTTTCCTGTAGCGAAAAAATAGCCGAGTGCATAGGGTTAAGTACGATAGTTGTTTTCTGTTTCCTCAGTCTTGGCTCTTATGGTTTCTATGATGGGCTTGCGTTCCTATGGTGCTGACCTGGTGGTATCCCCGTGGTCGTCGTTGCTATTGATAGGGTAGAAGGATGACGGGAAAAGGAAGGGATGCGTTTCGTCTCGGGCCTGCTAGTGGACTCATCGGTAAGGCTTTCTTCTAGAAGGCCCTGCCTTAGACCAAGGAAACTTAGGTGGCATAGGAAATTCTATTTAACTCCAGGTTTACCGACGCTATCTGTATACTTATTTCTAAGGAAACCACCTGTTTTTTGACAGACAGGAAAGGAAAGTTCATTCACAGGTAAAGGGGCACGTAGCCCAAACACTTAGATGCATTCCTAGACTTCCACTCTTCACTTGGAACCGATACTTCCATAAACATCCCGTCCACACGATCCCTGCACACGGTCACTCATCCTTATGCACGCACTCCAGATAATACCCCGAACGCTCGAGCCAAACCCAAGATGGCTGTTTATTATCCTCTAAAAACGGAGAAGGGCCCAAGCGTTTCCACGTGCTTTACAGTCATACCTAGGACAAAAGGCACTGTCACACACGGCGACCCCATGCTCTAATTACGTCACGCTCACCATTCCTACATATTATATTTAACAGGCTTAATATAAGTTAACTAAATCTGTTACCATCATATAATTGGAGCAACCCTTCTGTCAAATTGACGGATTCCGTAAATCTAGTGTTAAGGGAGGTCGAGGCTTCATCAAGGACTTGCAAGAAAATCCTCGAATCTCCTTCAAATGGGAATCCATCTATTGTCGAAGGTGAGAACTTGGTCCCTACATCTGTTTCTTAATTTTTGTATAACGAAGTTGGTAATTTCTAGGGGAACTGGATATCTGAAGATTCTGATAATTATTTTGATATACTGGGAAAACGAAAGGAGAAATATAGATTGAAAGATAACTTAATTTGCCG